AGGATGGACAGGATGCATCCTCCATGGCCTTAGAAAAGTAGGAAGCATTTTTTAGCGACATCAAAATCGGGACTGCGGCTTTGACGCCTTTCAAAGGATGCAGCTGCTGAACTGAGACACAGCTTGACTCTTTGTGTTCCCTGTGGATTTTTCCTCTTGGCTCTTCCTTGATGGAGTTTTGGTTGGATGTTGTTTTTCCTCATAGATGTTGGATTCCGGGGCTGTTTAACAGTAAGCCTTTGTTTTTTTCTTGTGTTTAAAAAAATTATTTAGAAAGTCTGTTCTTGGGTCCTCTATCTTTGTATCAACCCTAATTGAGATAGGAACAAGAGGAATGCTGTAAAGCAGTAGTTCTCAACTGGTCTAGCCTCAGGACTCCCAACCAACTCACTCATGAAAAATCACGACCCAGATTTCAGATATTTTTTTAACAAATCAGATTTGTTCAATGAAAAATGTTGACACAAGATGAAACAGACATGTTTTAAAAGCGCTTAATAGACTTTTTCACACAATATTTTTTCCAGGCACACATTCAAGACCCACTGAAAATGGCTCCGCGACCCACTTTTGGGTCCAGACCCACCATATGAGAAACTCTGCTGTAAAGAATGATCATGTTAATTTGTCAGTTATTAGATTTATTCACCGCCTTATGCTCTTTCCCATTTATATCTAATTTTACAACTGAAAGTCCTGCGCCATTTGGTTGAATCCATTTCTCCTGACTGACACAACAAGTGGACTTCATCAGTCTTTCATCAGTCTTTCATCAGTCCTGGTGGAGGCTAAATGATACATTGTGAATCTGTACGAGATGCTGCGGCCCGTGAAAGAGTGCCGGTAATTTGGGGACATGGGAATGAGAACAGGCTGGTAAACAACAACTACTGATTATAGTTTTGTGTTTCTGGAAAATGTATCACGCTGCCCACTTAATTTAAAATGACATCCAGAAACAGCAACCATTCAGTTTGGCAGTGGCATCTCCTGTTTTGGCAAACAGCCATGATGAAATTGTTCAACATCATTTTTTTCCCCATGTCATACGTGGCAGATAATCTCATTAAAAAGAATAATAAACAGAAAGCTTCCGGACAGATTGCTGGTGCACAGACGCTATGCAAAGATGATGCTGATGTGTTGATTTGTTGGGGTTTGTGTGTGTGTGTGTGTGTGTGTGTGTGTGTGTGTTGGTACGCAGCTGGTGGGAATAACTTGTTTCTTGGTGTGTGTCGTTTTGTGGGCACATGACGTTGTCCCATGTGAAAGCCTCTCTGCAGCCACGTGTTGATCCTCTCAGGAGAAATGTTTTTTTTCCTTCTCTGCCTGATTAGAAGCTGCCATGGATGGCTGGGCCGTCCATTGTGTCCTCACCTTAGAAGTCAAACACAAAAATTTGTTTCTTCCTGATTGCAACAGGATGTTTTGACAAAGAGACGCATGAATGGAGACGTTATTTTATTACAACTTTTACGATGTTGGAGAGTAATGCCGTTCTGAAGTAAAGTGCATGCAGCTGATTGAGGTCATGAAGATCAAGTGTTTCAGCATTCAAGGCTGATTAAAATTCTTACTTGACTGGTTTGAGATTAGGAATGATTATTACACTGTCCACTGCAAGGGAACCTTATGGGACACTTTAACCCCTGCATGAAATTCCTTTTGAAAATTTCAGGACAGCCTGCCCCTGACATTTTCCTGAGGTACCCTTTCACACACACATATCACCTCACAGCAGGAGATTTCCCTGTCTGACCCATGGCAGACAAAGCAACAGAATCCAATGCTAAGATGACAAATGTTGCCGTTATATTAATGCTGCATGTAATTGGACGTTTCCACAGTTTCAATGAACAAGCAGAGAAGAGCATACTGAGTATGAATCAGCTTTATACATGCACAAAGATCAAACCTGTTTCTTATGGGTAACAGGATTTAAACATTATCACCCCCGCTAACTGGAGGGGTGTATACTGAATACTTCCTGCTGCGTTCACACATCAGCTCGAAGCTGACTTATTGGGGAAATGTTCCAGGGGGGGAAACAATCCAGGTCAAGTCAGGGTAACTCATTTGGCCTTTGTATTCAAACATGCATCTTCTCCTGAAAATGTTGGGATGCGTGAAAGAGGCTTTTTGTGTTATCTTCATCAGAACGACAGCGTATCATGTTTTATCTATTAGATAAGCACCTTTGGGGGATTTAATCATGATTTCTCCACAGAGGGCACATCTTGTTCTCCTCAGCTGATGGTGGATGACAATCAGCTGGGAGGTAGGTAGAAGTTTCCCTGCTCAGTTGGTTGTGTGTCTCCAGAGAGTCAACACCATCCGTTGGCTTTCTGTGTTTTGTTGTTGAAAATCTCAGTTGTGTGTTTTTTTAAAACATATCTTTCTTTCAGCCACTTGTGACTCCTCCCATTACCCCTCACTGACTCCCATTTCTTTTGCTTTGGCTCCAATTTAATGTTTGTCTATCATTTTGCTACAATCAGTGGGTGGTCATGAAGGGGTTTGTTATTCTGCCACCTTTAAGAAACCAAAGACTAGTAACAAGTGCAATGTTTTCTTAGTTCCCCAACTCGTTACCCCTGTCATTTAGATTTTGTTTTCTGCTGAGAACGTAACACTGACACTGTAGGGCTTTTTATGTTGAATATTTGTTTCGAATGTGGTGGCACCACAGAGAGGAAATATTTTCTCAATGCACATAGTTAATGCCATCTTTTCTCAAATTTCCCCTGTATCATGATGAGCAATTTAATGTATTTATGTTCTGATGATTTCAGTCCTGACCTGAACTCATAAAACGTAAAGTTACTAAGTATTTTTTTTTTTCAAATGCAGTCAAATGACTTAAACGACTGAAAAGAGAATGAAATAAACATTTCAAAAGCCCAAACTGTTTGTAATTCATGAGTGGATCATCAAGAAGAATAGAGGCCACAATAACTTCAAGGAAGGCGGTTTTAAAAATGTTTTTCACTCTTTCATTGATTGACAGCTTTCTTGATGCAAAGACTAACATATGGAATAAAAGAGGTTGTTTATACAATGATGTAAAAGCCATGTTCACATACATTATGTTTCAAGGGACTGTGGGCGTATTCAGTCCAACTAAAGTCATCACAAAGAAAGTATGTAAACACACCAAAACAACCCAAACTAAGGGCTTAAAGCTACATTTCAAGTGAAATGCAGTTAACACCAAAACAAGTGCAGCCAAGCCATGACGGCCCTCTGTAAAGCCGAGGGTAAAATTTAAGACTTTATTTTGGAAGAGGGTCACTGACTCTGCACGCACGTATACGAGATCAAATGAAGCCAATTTGGAAGAGAGCCCGCAATGCCCAGAACGAGCATGATGCAGGAGGGTCAGGGGGGACAGAAATGTGGTTTTAGTCTAAAGTGTATTCATTTTGTTGGCTGACGGTGGTGTGTGTGTGTGTGTGTGTGTGTATGTGTGTGTGTGTGTGTGTGTGTGTGTGTGTATGTGTGTGTGTGTGAAGTTACTGGAGGGTGATTTATCGGCCGTGTGTGCCACATTTTGTGCGGTGGTTGAAGCTGAAGGAGACGAATTGCTCGTCTGAATCTGTTTAGTTTGATGTCAGGAGTCTGACTGATGCTCTAATCAGTGTTTTCATTTATGACCCTCTCTGCGCTCAGAGCCTCGACTTCACTGTATTACTTCAGTCTGTTGAGCTGTGATTGCGCGCTTGAAAAACGACGTAACCAAGGTAATGAAAATGTTTTCCTGATCATATCACTACCTCCCCGTGATGAAAACATATCGACTTCCGAGAAGGCTGAATGTTATTAAGATCTGACTCAGCAGGACGGTGCCAGATCTTATGGAAGAGAGGTCAACAATAACTCCACCACCAGGGGTTATAAATATGCAGCTTTCTCCTTTCTGACTGAATGCAAAGCCACATTATATGGAAGCACTTTAATGCCAATTTTTGAAAAAAATCGGGCTGTTTTGAGATATTACCTTTGTGACATCACAAAGGGAAGTAACCCCTCCCCCAGTTAGGTGTTTGTTTGCACTTAAAAACAACACAACACAAAATTGATGAGTGCAATGCAGACAGTTTTGGTGGATCAGACATTTTGACAATTCATCCATCCATACATACCATTTCCCATTTGAGGTCATTTGAGGGGCTGGAGCTGATCCCAGCTGCCAATGGGCAAGAGGCAGGGTTCACCCTGGACTGTTCACCAGTCAGTCAGGGCTGACATGTAGAGACAGACAACACGCCACACTCACATTCACTCCAACGGGCAATTTAGAGTCACCAGTTAACCTAACGAGCATGTCTTTGGACTGTAGGAGGAAGCCGGAGTACACAGAGAGAACCCACACATGTACAGGGAGAACATGCAAACTCTACACAGAGAGGGGATTTGAACAATGAACCTCCTCGCTGTGAGGCGACAGCACTAACTACCGCACCACCGTGAAGCCAACAATTCATGTTTTTTTTACATTTTGATTGATGTATTTATTAAATATAAATATTTCAGGTGGCAATTCCCCCCGCCAAAATTCTGATTTTGTTATTTCTTCTTATCATAAGAAGTTCTGAACATTAAATGGATTCATCATTTCTCGTCTTTGTGGGAATGGGCCTCCATAAAATAACACCAAGAAGAATTACAGTAATGTCTGTAGATGGCAGCCGGACTACAGTTACAGTGCCAGAGTTTGAATAGCACAATAGGTTTAGTCAGACATGACCTTTAAGTAACCTCTACAGAGGAGGGGGGAAAAGAGAGCTATATGGGAGAAAGAGAGGGAAGGAAAGAAGGAAAACAGATGGATTGAGAGGGGAAAGGAGGGCAGAGAAAGCTTTGTTGGTTACAGGAGAAAGAGAGAAAACAGAGAAAAGAGAGGTGTGAGAGCGTAGAGGAGAGTTTGGCACACGGACAGACACGCAGAGAAGAAGGGGGCGCTTGTTCCCCCCCACCCCCCCACCCCCCTTCACCTCCTCTCCCTTCAGCTTTAAAACAGCTCTTTGAAGAGGAGGAGAGGGGGGCCGTCCTGTACACCCCCATCCAGCCCGGACTGTAAGGAGCGTTTAGTGAGCCGACGTGAACCCAGATCCCAGATACAGAACAGAGCTGAGGAGCTGACAGAGCGCAGGCATGAACGACATCAAGCTGGCCCTGCTGGGGAGCCCGGGGGCCGGGAAATCAGGTGAGGGGCTGGAAGTGATTCTGTACATTTCAAACAGCTAAAGAACAATACCTGCGGTTATTCAATCAAAAGCAGATTTAGAAAGCTTCTTTAGAAAGTATGTTGCAACACTTTTTAAAAAGCTTGAGACTTTTCTACCTTTTGTGTGAAAAAAACCTAAACAGGAAGTAAATTAAAAGCCTGGATAAGTTGCCTTTATTTGCTACAGAACATGTTCAACCTTTGGAAGACTTTTAAATAATAATGTGTTGTGACCTCTTTGGGATAGATTGTGAAAAACTGGAAGGTATTGCATCTGATACGTCAAACAGTTTGTGTTTAAAATGCAGTTTCTAGACGAGGAAAGTTTCTTCATTACAGTAGAAAAGTTTTAGACTTTTCTGATTTGGTTTGAGTAAAAGAACTTAAACATAAAGTACATTAAATTAAAAAAGTAGTCTTATTAACTACATTGCACGTCAATCTTTCACATAATCTTTCTTTTTAAGATATAAGGGAGGAAAAAAGGAAGTCATAGATAAAGGTATTTTCTCCCTTAACGACAAAATGAATTGGTCAAAAATAAGCATCAGTGAATACAGAAAAATGTGCAGAAATTTCAATTTCAAGGTGGCATGCGCAGATGAATTATTTTCTATAACTAGCAGACCAAAACACAAAGATATTCAGTTTGATCATAGACATCAGGAAACAAAAGCAGCATATCTGCATGCTCGAGAATCTGGAAACGGAAACTGGATTATCACCTCATCTATTATTTGACCTTGTGTCCCAGAGTTAACCTGCATGCTTTTCCATTAGAAAGCTCTGTGATTCTCTGCTCTCAGTTCTATTTGATTACATCCAAATGCCCCCTGTTTTATCAAGTTGCTTTTTAAATAAAGGGATTTAGTGTTATCAAAGGCCTAATCAATCAACAGTGACTGTATGATGAATGAATTACACATTTCCCCTCAACGAGGGGAAATGTGTAATTCATTCATGCGCTGAGGACTCAGCAAAGACCAACGATGAGCGGATCTCCTCATCAAATGTTACAGTCTCATTCTTCAGCATGACGCATAGATCACGTCTGCTTTGGAGACTTTTTATGGCGAACTGTTGGTGCAGAGTGACAGGGTTTGCATGTGAATTTTCAGGCTCCATTAAAGCATATAACAGCTCCCCCTCAATGTGTGAAACGGTCTCTAATGGTCATGGTGTTCAAACGGCGACAGCAGGAACACATTATGACGAGCAGCTCTTTTAATGACACCCCACTGTTCAACATACTTTTCTATTTCTTTGCCTGCCGTTCTCTCAAAGTGGATTGACCTTCGGATTAACATGTGTCACTGCTCTGAGTCAGCTGAACCCTTTTATCCTCACTGACTTCAATTAGTTGTGTTTCCATTAACTGTGTTGAATAACACGCACTTAAAGGCAAAATATGTAGAATCTTAATCTAAGCTTTTACACTAAAATATCAAAATTACTAAAAGAATGAACTAAACCTTTGTTATGTTTTTTTGTATAGTACATACATTAACTCAAAAACTGTTATCCAAGCAAGACAAATCTGTAATTTTAGAGTTGTGTCTTGCCATTACAGACATGACATGTTTATTGTTGCTGTGGAAACACCAGATTTTATGTCAAATGTCAAAAGGAAGTGTGAGCTGCTACTGAAAGCTGTCGTAATGTTGCTGTATGTGCTGCTGTGATAAAAACATCATGCCAATTATACTCGGATACATTAGCTCGTCTGTAAACATATTCTCTTCCTCAGGTCGGTTTCAACCGTTCATCTTGACTACGGTCAGCTCAGAGTTAGTTTTCATTGGGGGTTGGGGTAGCAGAGAGAATCACTCCCATGATTCCCCGCCAGCCTTGACGTCCTTTTTTGCTATTATTTTGATTGAGAGCCCCCTAGTGGCAGAGTTTTCACACTGTGCATTAAATGGGATATGCAAACATCTCAGACAAATAACTTCTGATGTACAACAGACAACAACTGAACCATTCACACTTAAATCAGAAGGTGCTCATAAAACACCTGGAAGCATTCATCTGTCCATCAACTATAAAAGCACAATTAAAAAACAATTGTGCAATAGAAATAAATTCCTGCTGAGAGCTCCCTGTTTTTCTCCAACAGAAGGGCCACAACCTCCATTTCTTCTCCTAAGGTTATCAGTCATGTGTAAAAAAAAAAAATGAGGCCGAACTTGAAATGCCTTAAACCTGCACGCTTTCCTAAAGGCCTGCAGAGGGCGACTACACTGATTGCTCCAGTTAGTCTAGTTTCCCTCCACTGGTTCTGTTTATGTTGTAATTATCTACATGAAGCTTTCACCTCTGGCTCTGCTCTATAGCCCTGCTGCCACTTACATTTTGTTTACATAAGACACAATGTGAAAGAGATCTGTACTATGGGCTGAAAAACCTCCAAAGAATCCACCGGAATATTTTTTCCGACACTTTAAGCTGTTTATTTGACCACATTCCTTAGGTTTTATTTCAGAGAAAATGTGCCGTTAAGCATCACAAGGCGAGTTATTGGACCCTTGTTGCTGTTTGGGGTCTTGTTGCATTTACCAGTGTTCAGTGTGTCTGGCTCTGTGCTGTTGCCAAGCTTCATAAAACAATGGGACGTCTCCACTCGCTCAGCCTGGCAGTGAGGCAGAGCTGTTACTGTGGAGATGGATGTGTGTGTCGGGTTTATATGTTTTCTCTCTGCGTCATTCTCCTTGTCTTGTTCTTGTTCTTCAGAAACACATAAGTGTTAGTGTTTCATAACTCAGGAGTAACGCTATTGTGTTTTTAAGTCTCTGAAAACACACATTTATGACTTTTAGCCATTTCACAAATGCACAAAATCTTTTTTGGACTTGTTCTGTCCTGAAATGTCCCAGAAATAGTCAGCGAGTCTGTTGGGGCCCTAGGAAAAAATCTATTGAGGGGCCCTCCAATTTTCTCTCCAATAGACGGATAATTCCTCTTCATTTTTTTTTTTACTTTCATTGACAAACTTTAGTTTTTACTAGAATAATGCATGCGACACTTAGCAGGGCAACAAGAGTGAGTGCTGTCAGATAGAGCCCCCCTTATGGAGGTTTTCTACTGTCATTGCAAAATTTACACATTTTTGGTTTAAGTTTGTGTAGCCCGCAGGGACAAGCAGGTCCAAGCAGTTGCCTAATGCCTGTTAACAAACAACGCCTCTGATGGTCATGAGTGCATGTGTGAAAAGGGCTACAGACTCTAAAAAGTAATTAAAGGTAGTTTCCACACAATTTTAAATATTGTCATTTAAACTTTATTCATTGGCAGAATTGGTTAAGATCTGAATTTTTCAGTTCAACAGTTCATTTCTCAAACAAAGTCTTATGTGTTGAATTCATTTATTTCCAGGAATGCAGGCATTCCTGGAAATAAACTGACTTTTAAGGTCGTTGCCGTATTTGTGCGACCCCTTAGTTACCCATAAAATAACCCCCTTCAGAGCCAGCTGACCACCATCAGCAACAAACCTCAAGAGTTAAGCACTTGAAACTTCAGCCCTTAATGGTGACTGATTGTCTTTGGGTTATTTTATGTGCAGCTGGCAGTCAGGAGATGAAGCAGAGGGGAAATATCACCATGCAGGGTTGCCAAATATGCACCCAGGTCGTCCAGAAAAGCCACACAGCCTCTTTTATGATAGGCTACGGTTTCACAAAGACTGTTGGCACCTTACTGCGCCTGTGGGAGCGAATGAGGGTCATTTTACCCACCAGTACTGCCACCTGTGAGGAGAGAGAGTGTAATGATGCCTTTAGTCATTTAGTGGGTTTTCATCTTGTCTGTTTCTTTCAGCTGTCCTCGTGCGGTTCCTGACCAGACGCTTCATCGGGGAATATGCCTCAAATGCCAGTAAGTGTTTCCACATTTGATGAAAGCTGACTTGCATGTAAGTTTTAAGTCCTGGAGAACACTTTGTGTTACTTGGATAGGTGTTTGCATGCTGTATGCTTTTTGGTTTAATTGTGTTTTTTTTTTTAACTTGTATAGATGGATGAATGCTTTTAAATATTTTTTTTCTCTTGCAGATGTTTTAACTTTCTTTTGTCAAGCACTTTGTAACTTTGACAGCATTTAGCTTCACTCACTTACTTACAGGTATTTTAAAAAATAGAGTCAAAACACCAATTTTTATCCAGCTAGAGGCATAAGAATGCTTTGTTTTCCACTAACTGGAGAAACATGCGCTGAAAATATGAGTCACATTTTCACCTTGACCAAATTCTGTGCTGCACGTTATTATCCGGAATAAATGAAATAGCATACTTTGAATCTGTTTTGATTTATCTCATGCCAGTTTATGAACAAAGGTCCAATAGTAATCCTCTGAGGGTTATTTCCAACGACGTGAAAGTAAATATCTGTCTTTTTATGAAGACACAAAACAGTCAACTTGCTGATTATCACACCAAAGCTTGCTTCACAGCCCCCTTCCCAATTCTTAAAAAAACAAAAACTTTAATCTGACCTCAGATATCTAACCTCTATGCTAAAACACTTCAAGAAAACAAAAGAAGAAGTTTGTAAATCAAAGAGACATTTCTCACACGAGTCCAATGATCTATTATAAACACAAAACGTCTGACTATTGCAGTTTCAAATCAAGTTTTTTTTGCCAAATCTAGCTAAATATAAGACCTGAAAACTAGCAAGGACAGAAAAGGGTCAAAACATTTTAGGAATGACTGACACCGTCACTGAATGTATATCACAAAAATCCTTTCGATTTCTGAATTCTTCTTCCACCAGTGAAAACTTCACCAGTTAATGAAACTGTTCATTTGTTTTTCTGACTCTTTCTGATCACTGTTTTTTAGATTCCTTGTACCACAAAAGGCTGTCGATCGACGGCAGGCAGCTGAATCTGGAAGTTTTTGACCCCTGCTCTCAGGTTTGCCACATCACCTACACACACGTTATAATTCATATTTGTCAGCAGTTTTTATCAGAAAAGCAGAGACTCAGAATGTTCCTGTCTTGAGATCTCCAGTATCCTATCTTCCCCACTTCCTGATTCTGAGAAACGATTAGTTAAACAAACGAGAAACTGACACTGATGACTTATTGTCAAGAGAATACACTAAAGCAGTCCATTTCAGAGTTTCATTTGCTTGACTTTATTTTGATTTATCAATATTTTTTTACCTGTCCTATGATTATTTCCAAAGGAGGAGATACATGATAAGTATTGGAAGAAAACCTGCTTTCTCCAAAATGCCAAGAGGAAAACGATGCTCTTCTCTTCTGTTTTCAGAATTATTTTAAGATTTATACTCTGTGGTTGAAAGATTTTTTTGAGCCCAAGTATGGAAGAATTTTCCTGAATTGATCCTCCTTCTGAGGTTTAAAGCTTAATAATACCTCACTAATAAAAACTCTGCACTGTTTTTAGTCTTTTTCGGGCAGCACATGCACACGACCCTGAGTGAACTGTGATCAGATGTCTACCTTCGGCCGGCACGTGGACAATCCATACTGCACTCAGAGTTAGGAATCTAAAGACTTTATGAGAATATCCCGAGGCAATGTGTGCCAAACGGCTGTCTCGTTGAAGAACAGAGTCATATAACTTGCCCACTTCTCCTTCAAGACCTGAGAGGCCTTTTACTGCAGTTTGGATTTTATTTGAATACCTCTCCTCAGGAGAACAAGAGCCTCTCATTGTCTTTGTGGGATAAACTCACAGTAACGCTCGCCCTTTCATAAAAAGGGTCAAAGTCCTGCCCTTCTGATCTGCACTGCATGAAGAAACTATGGAGTCAATAAAGACAGGTTGAAGAGGTTTTTTTTGTTACAGTTGTCAGGCATTTCCATGTCCTTCCTGCTCTGTTTTTGTCTCCTCAAGGTCGCTGAAAGTCATTCCATTCTCGCTCTGCACGTGTCTGCATGCTGGTGTTTTCAAAAACAGCTGTAAAAATATCTCATTGGATAACTGTAATGTTTTAATGTGTTGGCGCTATTTACAAGTTTTATACGGTCAAGTAGCATTTTCCCACATGCACAGGCTGCCCCTTTCATGCACCTCTCTCTTAGAGGGAGACCTTCATGGTTGGACAGGACGGTTTTTGGTTGGGGGGTTTTCAGGCGGCAGGACATGAGGTAAAAACGAGATGGCAGATGAAGCGACAATGTCTCATCAGCCCCCCTCGTCTGCTCAGTGTCTGTGAGCTTTGCTTATAGTATTACCTGCTCAACTTCACGTTAACTTTTTACTGGAAGGCTGGTGGGAAAAATTAAGCGTAAATTTGCAGCAGACAGCAAAAGATCCAGTAAGTTTTCAGGAGTTTTGCATGTGTATGAAGACTTAATTTGTCTAAACTTTACAAGACCTTGGACTAAAAGTTCTGGGCGCTTTTAGTGGAAACACAGTTTTACTGTAAAGCCTTTAAGCTAAGAATCACGGAGCATGGAAGGTTTTTGTCTCTGGTTTCATCTCCCCCAGTTAAAAACACCACATTAAGAGCCTGTGCTGTGCTGTCTCTGCAGAGCTCTGAGGCCAGGTGTATCCTGGAGGAGCCGGTGGACTGGGCAGACGGCTTCGTGGTGGTGTACAACATTAGCGACCGCAGCTCCTTCATCAACGCCAAGAACATCCTGCGGCAGATACGAGAGACGCGCATGGACAACTGCAAAGGGTCAGAAAAAAAAAAACAGTGAGGCTATTTATTGTAAAAGGACTTTGGAAAACCACTTCAGGGTTTTAGAAAATTAAAACGTGGAGGATCAGAGCAGCTGCCAGATTATTTTTTCAAGCCTTTTTTTTCCAAAAACGTTGAGCTGGATGATGTAACATGAACCGTATCCTGTACCGAGGCAGCTGAATGGTTTTTACAAATATTGTCTTGTGAATTATGTGCTCTATGGGGTTATTACATAAAGGTCTGGGTCCAAACGTATATAAACAATCTCAAGAATGTGTTCAAATTGAACTAAGAATCTGGCATTCCTAGTTTGAACATCCTTTTTTGGTGAGTATATACCTCATAACTACAGTCTAACAACAAATGTCAACAGTCCCGTTTGTGAAAATGGTAAATGGACTTGAACTTGTATAGCGCTTTTCTTTTATCCAAAGTACAATAATGCCTATACTTCATCAAATCAAAATGGATGAGTTGAAAAAAAAAATCACCCACCCTGTACAGTTTGTGCCGATCGAGCTATGGGCTAACCAGGCCATTAACATGTTAATTTCTGCTGTAAAACTGGCTTTTAAAAAAAAGGGTGCATGTGTATGTGACTTCAAATGCTTCTGCAGCCAGCCTCAAGCGGACCCTCGATGAAAACTTAGACTTAGACTTTCTTTATTGTCATTCAAACTTGTACTTTACAGTGCAGATAAGAACGAAATTTCGTTGCATTTGGCTCATTGTAGTGCAGGATAAAAACAGCAGCATGTATTTACATATAAAAAATAAAAATAAGGTGCAGATATAAATAGATATAAAAAGAAAAACTATGAGTAAAAATACTATACAGATAAATATATTGCACGTTATATTGTGTTTTACAGTCCAGTGAGGTAGTCCTGTGTGGGGGTTTGAGGGGGAATGGAGGGATTATTTTTTCCTGTTCAAAAGTCTTATGGCCTGTGGGAAGAAGGATGTTACACTTCCACATTGGTGTCATTTTTCAGTTTAAGTTGACAAGCTATGACTTACCATATTATTATATAACATGCTGTAAATAAAACAAAGCAAAACAGCTGTATTGTCTTGAAATTAAGCAGCGTTGGAGGTCCAAAAGTGATAAAACTGATGAATAATTCATGATAAAAAGGTTAGCTATTCACTCTCAGGTATCTTGTAAAATTGGTTTGCTGGGAGAAAAAAACATCCATCAGGCGGTGTGTCTTGGACTAAATCCTCGTCATGATGAGGAGGGAAGAGATTTATTGAGTCTGTGAGAGTTTGGGAGTAGAAAAAGAGATCAGTGAGTCTTAATGGAGATAAAAACAGGAATTATTTGACTTGCTTTTGTTTATGATCGCGTAAATCAAACACACTTATTGCCAAAACTATATAAATAGAAGAAAAAAAGTGGTGAAACAAAGTTTAGGGAGAGTTTTGGAAAGAAAGATGTTTCAATAAAAGTGCCTCAAAGTAATACTCATCCTTTAATCCTCATATTACATACTTTATCTGAAGAATTTAAAAGAAACAGATGCTTTTATTTGCTCTCAATCCTCTACGTCCCAGCTCCAAGGCCAACCTAAGATGTTTCTCACAGGGAACATCATTTAAAACTCTACTGTGCCTGACCGTAGAATCCTGGAACCTTGAGAAAGTAGCATCCCCCTAGCAGGGTCTTTTTTAGGGTCCTGCGGTCAAAATGCACATAGTTCCTCAAAAGGCCCTATAGTTTCTTGAAAAGGGGCTTCTTTCTTCTGATTCAAGGAGGTAGAGGTTGAAAACTATGACATTAGCTATACTGTAAGGCGCCATGTGTCTTTGCAAATGTTAAACCTTTGGAGCTTTACTGCAAAATAAAAAACATGGACAAAATCATCCCAGTGATGGGTTCAAGAAAGTTGAAGAGGATTCAGATTAAATCACCCCATGCAAAGAAAAACCCTCCAGGAAACGGAAGCTTTTATTGGCTCTCAAATCCACTACATCCCACCACCCAGCCCACCCTAATATGTTCCTCTGTCTCTGATTCAGGGAGGTCGAGGTTGCTGTGTGTCTGGTCGGCAACAAACAGGACCTGTGTCACGCCCGGCAGGTCCGAGAAGACGAGGGCCGCTGCCTGGCTCAGGAGAACCACTGCAACTTCCAGGAGGTGTCAGCGGCCGAGAGCTACCAGGACATCGCCAACCTGTTCACCCAGCTCATCCGGCAGGTGATGGATCACCTCAAGTACAGGGCTGACCGACGGCGCTACAGCGGCTCCAAGTCGATGGCGAAGCTCATCAACAATGTTTTCGGCAAGAGGAGGAAGTCAGTGTGATTCCAGAGAGAAAGGGACTGTGATTTATGTTTGCTTAAGGGACCCTGGCCAAAAGGTTACAAGCTGCCCTGGAAAAGTGATTTAGCAGACAAATTAACCCTGCGTTCACTGTGAGCAACATGAAAGGCCATTGGAGGGTTAGTATGGTGTCTGTTAGCGTGACGCTACCACCTATATTGGCAATCACAAGTCATTTACAAATCCTTTGTTTGTTGTTATATTTTTGCATTGGATGTATTTCTATGCCACTTTAAAATGACTAATGAAATTGTTCTGAAGCAAAGCAGGTTGTTGGGGTCAGGACAGACAGAAGGACTTGCAAGGTAATAAACAGGGCGTAAAAAGCATGAACCGTTACGTTGTACTGATGAGGATGAAGTGGGGTTCAACATACCGTAAGGCTTTAGGGTGTCGCAAGGTTGGGAACAATTTAATGAGGGTAATGCTCAAAATATTTCAGTGTCAGAACCAAATTGCAATCACCAAGAAGGGCTGAGAGGTGAAGCAAACCGCAGAAGAGCAGAAAACTGCAGTTCTTCAAGTGGCCACTTGGGGCTGGCTCCAAAAGTGAGTCAATCCCCACTAGGCCCCATATTAATCTGCCCGTTGTTTCAGCAGCAGTAATCATTTTTATAGTCTTTTTTTTTTTTATCAGCTTAGCATATGTTTCTACTTATAGATATGATACACTTTGTTGTCCTCTTAGGGAAATTTGTCTTGGACTCACAGTGCTGCCAAACATTCAGCTGCTTCCACTCGAATACATAAATAAAAACAATAGAAATACACAAGCACATGTAAACAGAAAGGCACATACCAATGCAAGACAACTCAACATATATTGCACATTACCAATATTGCAAAAGATCTGCATAAACACAGCATGAGAGATGCTAACTGTACAGACGCTGACGTTTAACTCACCCTTTTAATTTATATTCAGGCTTATGTCTGCATAATTAATTGTGTAGTGGGCTCAGCTAGCTGTCTGCAATGCTTCACCCCAGATAATTCAGTCAGAGTGTGTGAAACACACAAAACACACAAAACAACAGTTCCATTGTTTTGCTTTTTATTGTACAAACAGTGAATTCCTAGTATATGCTCATCTGGAGTGTAACTCTAGTCATATTTTCTTGATATTGTAGCACTTTTTAACAAGCATTGGTGTTCATGCTCACCATCGTTGGCTTGTTAGCTTGTTAAGTATTTGTTGTGTATTGATTATTTTAAGGCTGTCAGGGGATATAAATCAATTTTATTGGTGGCTTTTCTGCTCCTGATTTCAGGCCCCTGAACTAAATTGCGTCTACATTTTATTGTTGCAGACTTTTTTTTATCATCTGCAAATATTGTTCTCCAAAGAATCAATATAATACTACTAGCATCCACAGCCTTTTAAATACATTAATTTTGGCTGGTTTTGCTTTTTATTTTTCCACATGAAACCTGATAACTAATAAAAAAAAGGTTTTAAGAGTTTTTAATATTGACTTAAATCTGCTTTGATTGTCTGTATTTATCATCGCTCATCAGAGACACCATCATAGAATGAAATCACACCTTGCAGGAATTGCAAGTCTCCCAAAAGTGGGGCTCAGGACCCCTTGTGGGATTGTGAGCCACAATGTAAAACATTTTAAAATAATTTAAAATAGTTTATTTGACCCATTATTGTAAATATGTGTGTATCATTGGTTCAAATAAACTCTTATAAGTGAAATAAAAATTAAATAAACATCTTTCTAAACATCCACACACCTGTGTGTCTTTTCACTGAGTTCAGTTTGTCTACTTAGTGCTACAGACTTTAAATTAAAATGACTTGTATTCTGCTTCTTACTTTTCTTACAATAAATCACAATATACAAAAAAAAAAGTTTTCTTTTGACTCTTGTGTTCTCTTGTGTTAAAAGTGTTTGGATAAGCCTATAAGCTTGTGTGCGGGTCTCTGTGATGCATTGTGCCTTGACCACCTCTGGGGGTCTCTGGTACCTTTGTTTTTGGGGTCGCGACCTGAAAAGTTTGGGAACCCCCACGTTAACAATTGTTGATTCGCTTGTGAAGCCTACAACTCCAGCTCTGACAGTACATACAGTATGTCTGTGCAGGTTCTCAGTCATCCAGGTCATGGTGAATACAAAGCTGGAACTGGACTGGTAGAAGATCTTGAAGACGTTTCATGTGAGTCCTCCTTGATCAGATCCACAGAGGCTTACATTTCTATCTCCGTCCACCAGATAGTTTAGAACTGAAGAAGCATTTCAGAAGAGGAGAGTGAAACGTCTTCAAGCTCTTCAACCAGTCCAGCTGCCTTTGGATCAAACTTTGAATTTCTTTCCCTTGAAACTTTTCCGATCCATGTGCTCACTCTGTGAACAGTTGGCTGCAATTTTAAAAAAGTTGTTCATGAAGGTCTTATTGACTTTTGGTTAGTAAAAAGTCTGTTTTTGATTTTACTTTATTGACACTTTTATTAACTTTTTATTGAAATATTTTCATTGCATACATCTCTTTGGGAGCCATAGTGTTTTTTAAACTAGTTCATTATATGTTGATTGTAATAAGTACCAATTAAGTAGGCCCTATTACACATTTTATTTTTTTTAATATGTTCATAGTTTCAGAGTAATTGAAAAATATCTCAAACGTGATCAACACCTTAAAACTTGATTTAAAAAAAAAGCACAAACCATCTAAGGGCATGAACTCATTGTGTTGTTCCTCTTAAACCAAGTTATGTCACCATGCACAGAAAGAATGTACCACACGTTGTGAAACATACGCAGCGTTTCGTGGATGAACGTGTCTTTTTTATTTTTAGTAAATACTGTAAAAACATCGGCTGTTCCAGAGGAAATTAAAGCCAAACACTGCTTAATAAGACGCCTGTTTTGGTTCCTCAGAGGGGCGAGCTGTTTCCATTTGAGCTGAGCTTTAATTAGAGGACGAAAGCTGCCGGAAAAATTAGGAATTTCCTGTGTTTAGCTGCTAAGAATAGCCACTTGAGAGGAAGGAGATACGAGAAATGCTCCATTATAACGCTGAATTCCCTAGGCGGTGTTCCCTAAAGTGACCACGAGATGGCAGCACAGTTATCCAAACACAATGATTTGCTCTCTCTCTCCCCCTCTCTCCTTTTGTAATGATTTCCTGCTCATGGAGCCTGACCTATTGCTCACTAAATCGATTCAAATTATAGAGATAAATGAGAGTGAACAATCAAGGAAGCACACGAGGGAGAAATTAAAGGGAAACCTGTTCAGTGGCTCCTTTTCAGTGACAGTAATTGCAGTTCATTTGTTTCGCCAGGCATTTATAATGTTCAAGTATTTTTGTTTAAAATGATCTAGTAGTTACAGCCGACTAAGAGAAAATGTATACAGTTTGTTTGGTTCCTCAATGAAGCGTCTTTTCGGGTCTGATGGATTTGGAAGAAATGCAAACATGAACCACAAGTGGGAATTTCTTATTATCCAACCATAACATATTGTTTGAAAGATATTTCTTGGGGACCCTTTAATATTTATGAAATAAGACAGCTGAAGAGAGACAGAAAATGTTGGGAGGAGAGAGGGATGACGTGCAGAAAAGGGCAGAGGTCAGATTCAAACTCACAGCTGCTGGCTATAGCCTCTGCATGGGTCATGCGATGTGACCATTAAGTTACAAGCGCCACAAAAAACATGTTCTTTTAAAGCCAAACAGTATATGATGTGTAACATGTTATAGACACATGGAAGTATTTTTTCCATCATTTTAACTATTGATCACGGTGTAGTCTTCATGTAAAGGTCAGTTTTCTCATCAGGGCTTGCCTGCCGTCATTTTGATGTAATGGTGTTTTGCTAACTACAAAAATCTTAAAGAGATATTTCATACCTGCTATACCCTTTTCTTGCAAGTGAAATAAATGTCTCGTCTGATTGCTTAGAGCCTCTTTGAAGTGATGGACGTCAAAGTTGATTCTCTTCAGGAGTCTTTTTCAAAATAATTCAGAATCAGCTCCATCGTGAGGTCACGGCTCAAAAAGTCCTTTAACTTAACCCCCCCACCCCCTTTCCCCCTATGCCATTCACAGACACACATTTAAGGTTTCCTTTTGGCTGTTCATTTTTAAATTAAATGACTGACCCTTGGAGCTTTTCAGAGCGATATATTTCTACTCACACTTTGCATCGACGTCTTCCTTGCTGCACAGAAAGTCAAGCATTTCATATTGATTGATTTACTTTATCGATCCCAAACTGGGGAATTACTTTGTAACACTGGCAGCAGGTTATCCATGCATATCATAGTATAGATCAATAAAGAATACATCTACCGTGACAGGAGAAGAAAGAAAGATATACCAGATAGAGAGACATACACGACAATAATAAGATATAATGATGAGATATAATAAGACATAAACATACTCTGTAGGGAGGTAGACACACAGTGTGCAGTGTGTGCTCCAAAAGAACCAAAGCATGAGAACGGTGCAGATAAAATGAGATAGAGACAATCAGGGTGAGAGTTTTTCGCAGAAACAGCAGCTTGCTTTGAATACATGGAGGTAACATGTAGTTGGCAGTATTAAGTGTTCCCATCTTGGCTGGAGCAGAAAAATAAAAATAAAAAAGAGCTCCACCTACAGAGAGTGAAGAGAATATCTGTGAGGAAAGAAATCACAGAGCTGAGTTTGAGTGACAGGTCATGTCTGCAGAGAGCAGAAACACTGCTGGCATCAGGACGTGATGACAAACACTTCAAGAAAATATGTTTGAAAATAAACAGCTTGAGTGTGAGTTTATGATGGAGCAAAATGCTTAAACTCTTATTTAAGTCCCTCTCTTTGTCCTCCTCCTGCTGTTCTCTTTATCCATGGACAGACAGACAAACCGAGAGCAGCTGACAAGACAACATAAAGAATAAAACAAACAAACAAAGCTGGCAGTTAAGCATAAAAAATAGATGTAGGTAATCAGAGAGGATATCATAGCACTAGTTTATGTCTGTCTACATTAACCCCGACAAAGTTAACAAAGAAGTTATATTTAAAATGCAAATAACTAAATAAATAAATTGACTCTCTCTTAATCCACAGGATATTTAAACATGTAACCTTTATTATCGCTGTCGCACGGTAAGTGACAATTCTTTTGACCAATAAACAGACTGCGGTGTGTGTAGCTCGACCCTTTAGGGTCAGATCAGTGAGCTTGCCACCCTCAACATATGGGTTTAGCGAACAAAGTAGGACGGTACGGATTGGTTACTTACCATTACCAACTGTTGACAGGGGAAACGCTGATAAATGGGTACCAAACCCTACAGGGATTAAGTAAATTGTAAAACATAATTACAGATATGAATATACAAAATGGGCCATGTTGAATAGTTTAGATATTGCATGGTGTGTTCAAGGCTCAATAAGACATTATCCAGCTTTGGGTCAGTATTGCATACATGTGTCTGAACAAATTGTTGACCGGTTCGCGGACAGACACAAGTGCAAACATTTCATATGAGAAAACAAAATTAAACTCAACTAACGTTCCAGAAATGTTGCACAAAACCGGTAGGAAGCCAAACAAAACAAAAACAAAGAGATTCAATCTTTTCATTGAATACTGAAGGCTATACCAGACAAGAGGACACATGAAACAAACAAATCCAAACTTTAATTGCATAAATCATCACATGTAAACCAGCAAAAGACAAACAAACAAAGGTGGATTGTTTGTTCAGGATGTCCATGTTTGAGTGAGTCTGGGTTTATCACCTTAAAAGAAACGATAAAGAAAAACACATGAAAAAAGGAGCAGGACAGAGGGTGTGATGATGATGTAATCAAATCAATAAATTATGGGATTGTGGACACGGATGGTTAAATGATTGAACGAGAAAAGAGTCAGGGAGAGGAGAGAAAAAAGAAAAAAACTGAATGTGATAAATTAGACAAACACTTTAGCTAAGTTGATAAATGAATACTTCTCTGTGTCCTGTTTTTCAAAGAAAGGATGACTTCAGCTGAATGGAGACACAGCCTCCGAGCATGGCCTTGTAGCTTCAGGTCAGCAGTCTTATTTGGCCCCCGTGTGGAGGAAGAATTGGTTTTGGCTCGGCCGAGGACAATCATCCGAACCGAGGGGATTGGATGCTGCTGGGACACGCAGAGAGCCAATCAGAAAGGCCATCGATCAGTTCCCCTTAATCTCACAGCTGGTGAGCACATCCCCGACTCCAATCTCAAACTCTGCAGCTTACTCAGACTGACGGACGGGGGATTGGAGGGCGTCCAAAAGACTTCAACCTCCACCGAAATAGATCCACAAAGGAGCAGGAAGAGTGTGACTGCAACATCACACAGCTCAGAGCTCAGCATCCATTCCTGCAGCTGCAATCTTGACTGTGAAAATAAACAGTAGTTAAAGTTGTTGAGCCTATTTAAGCCAGAAAATCTTCTTTTTCCTGAAAAATGTGGAAACAATATGTCAGTGTGGTTTCATAATGGATTGTTTCCAAGCTGAAACCTCCAATTAGTCCAATGCGGAAACTGCAGTTCCTGGAGTTTCCACTTGAAGCTGGCTCCAAAAAAGCAGAGAATTCCAATTATCACTCATTAAAATACTGATTTTCACAATAGATATACACCTGTTTACAGCCAGGTTAAGAAAACAGTTATGTTCTGTTTGATGACATTAAGGCTAATGGTTTTGATTAATTTCTATAATTAAAGGGTTGACTGAGTAAACTGAATGAGGCTTAAAGAGGATTTATTATCCCCCTTTTCCACCTTTTCAAACAGTCCCCTGTGGTCTAAATGAAACATCTGTGCTGTGCTTTGGTCAAAATATAACATGAATCAAGCACCAAAGGAG